TGATTTATGTAGTCAATTTTATTTTGCTTTCCAACTGAGTTGTCCATTTGATAGGTTAAGCATCCTTAAGGGGATAAAAGCATTTTAATTTCAGACACGATTTTTTACAGTGAAAAAAAAACTATTATAATAAGTAAAAAACATAAAATCAAAAGTACCCGAACTTGAGCGCTACTCGAGACATTTCAGTGGAAGGAGTTGGTTGGAACATCGAGAAAAATTTTCATGTCACTTGCAGACACTTCTACGTTGAATCGTGGTTGCTAAAGCTAACACAGAAGTGTCTCTACTCAACATTTTTCCACATCCACCTCGTCCCGCCCACCTCCTGCTATCACACATAGAAACCAACCTGACTATCCCAAGTTTTTTTTTCTCTCACATTATACCGTGTTCATGTTTCTCAAGAATTTCACACAAAGTGTTCAACATGATCTTTGAAGGCCTCCCGTGTCACATCCAGATAAAATCAATACACTGTTCCATGGGCTTGGATTACCAACAAATGTCCGCTGTAAAAAATGACCACGGACAGTTTCCTTCAGATAGGTTTGGGATGCGAGAGATAAATTGCCACTCGTCATTTTTCATATTTCACATTTTTTTGTTATTGTGACTATTTTTCTCTGGGAATATTGATGATGGGGATGATATCACTTTTGAGTCGATGGGTAGTATGGGTACGGAAAGATACTTTTATTCCTGACGAACGAACAAAAAATTTTGTATATCACAAACTGTCAAAAATTTTTTTCTGAGAATTATTCAAAAATTAGCAGTTAAAACCCAAGTAGGTGGTACACGGAGAGAAATTTTTGGTAAAAATTATCCTACCGTTTTATAAAAGTGTATCATAAGTCATCATTTCTTCATTTTTATCCCGAAATTTAGGAAAAATTAATATATGATGATCAAATGTTATTCTACGTTAGAGAAATTTTATCCTGCTAAAAATAAAAATTACCGTGCCGGTAGAGTAAAAATTACGGTACCAGTAGGGTATAATTTACCAACTGTTCTAGAATTTTCGTTACCTACATAAAAAAATTTGAACTGGAAGGGTAAAATTAATTATGCGTCAGGATAAAATTTTTCTAACGTAGAATAGAATTTGATCATCATATATTAATTTTTACTAAATTTCGGGATAGAAATGAGAAAACGATGACTCATGATACACTTTTATAGAACGGTAGGATAATTTTTATCAAAAATTGCTCTCGGTGTACCACGTGACGTCAAATGGTGGAATTCTATTGGCTGAAAATTGGATTGGAAAATAGTCAGTAAAATTTGTATCTTCATTATTTTTCTCTCTAAAATCATATCCAATGTCGCTCTCCGGGGAATAATTGTTAAACTATCCTTGAAATTGAAATTTTTTCCAACAGCGCATTGCAAACGCAGCAAAAAATCACCCAACGAGGAGTTGCACACTGAAAAATTTCTATGAATACAAATTTCAAAGCGAAACATAATCCTCCCAAATCTGACGCGATGGAATAATTATTTTTGCACGGAGTAATGGAAAAAATGGAGAGAGAAAGGGTGAAAGAGACGAAACGGGACATGTTTGGCCGTGTATATACTGATAGAAAATGTGGAACTATTCAGTTGCTGTTCACGAAGCTTCATATCTATGACTCCGCCTTGTGAACTATGAATGAATCGTGGTAATAGTTAAGAAGCCTCGTTAACAGGAACTAAATCCTTCCATCAGTTTAGATCAACGGATTTACGTCCGGAGATACTCCATGAATTTTCTGTTTCGTTTCAAAACGGAATGTTCAGCTTTATTTCACTAAAATTCATCAATTCAGCAAATCCATCATTTAAACTGATCAAAGGACAACAATTTCTAAAAAACTGTAACATCTGAGAATTCCCTGGGTTTTAATGTAAGCAACTATAGCTTATTTTGCTTTCTCGTGTCAAGCGATAACCAAACACTCGCAATGTGAGGAGAATGAGGCCCCTGTTCAAAACAACCCAAGAGAGACATATCCAATACTAAATTTCAATCTTAACCATCCTATTCAAGTGGTGATATCCAAATCAATTGAGCAAAATTGAATTATCTTGGCTTATGCAACCATTAATAATCTAAAAAATATTGAAATCAAACTATATATATATTACTAAATAATAAATCCAAAAATATTAAAAATATTTTTATAAATTTCAAACACCTTTAATATCTTTATCGACTTCCAATATCGCGTTAAAAAATCGAATCAATGAATTAATTAGATAAAACTGTCGTACTTTAACGTTTCAAATATTCAATCCAATGAATCAATTAACAAAAAGGAAAGGGAAAGATTTAAAGCAAAATTGCAACTGAACGATCCAATGTCATAAACATTCAGAGATCTGTCAATTGTAAAATTCTTTGAAACTCGCATTGAATATCCAAGTGAATTAAATTCATTAAATTTTTTTTTATCGTTTTTTACATCGCTTCGACCCGGTTAGGGTATACTGCGATGATGATCAAGACTTTAAATGGTTAGATCGCACCATTCTACCCGGCCGGGATGTGAACTCGGCACCTTTCGCATGTGAGGCAACGAACTTACCCACTGCGCCAAGCCACCGGGATATCCATTGAATATCGTATTCTTCATTTTAAAACAACAATTGGGACCGCTAATTACCGATGGCGGCGCTCGTTTTCACCAATATGGACGATTTTAGGCTTCCCATATACACGCTAACACAAGCCCAAATTGGGTTGCATACTGTCTGTGTGCAGCCCAATATCCGCCATTCATAGGTGGCGTTTTGATATTTAGCGTTTCCAATAAACCAAATTGTAGAATAACCTGAGTGAAACCGACGTCGGTGGCCGAAGCGGCTAGGTGCGAGCCTAGTGTGCGAAAGGTTGTGAGTTCGATTCCCCGTGGAACCGAGTTTTTCAACCGGAGGCTCCGGCGAGCGGGAGGTCGCTAATATAGTGACCGCCTGTACCGGCATGGGTTTTCTGTGGTTTCCCATGCTACTCCTATGTTCTATAGGAGTGCGATTGCGGTGCAGTGTAGAATCCACAGCCGCATGCATAGAGTTGGATAGGGCCGATTAGCCAATCAGAGGGCAGAAAGGGCCAGAATATAAAAAAAAAAAAAAAACCTGAGTGAAATTGCTTGCAACTCAGGAGCGTCCTTTAAAACGATGCAACATTTTCCGTAAATCGGATCTCGATAAACATACATTTATCAAATACATATGTGGGTAATTTGTTGAAAACCACATGGAGAAATGAAAGCGAATGGAAACATTTCACGTGTCTGTGGAAAGTGTTTTTTGAGCCGAGCAAACGAACGTCATGTTCAAAAGGACCATTACGAAAATGACCATTCGAGTGAATTACTCTCATTGCGTTCAATCGTTGATCGGTTTTCTGTCGGCATCCCTCGCTTCATTCCAACTCATGCGCTCTCACTTATGCTTTGAACCTCTCTTTTTTTCTCCTGAAAATTCAATGCCTGTGAATACACGTTTCGTGAAAATATTCAATTCACGTGAATTATGGGGGATGTAACTATTGTATCGGAGTGTGTCTAATGGGGTGAGATGAATTGTGGAAACATATGTGTGGGTAATTAATCATAATTCCGAATTTTTGGTTCCAGTCTGTATCTTTCATGCGGAAAGTATCTCACAGTCTCTCCATCAAGCATATTGCGGTTAATTCAGCCCCTTTCGTGATTTCAGAATTACGTGATTCCAAAACCTTGTCATTGTCATCAATCATCCATGTGATTTTCAGTATTTGTAATCGCTCCTTCATTCTAATTATCCTTTCTCGTAACCTCAACATTCGAATGACTCCTGTGATACAATCATAGTCAAATAATTGTATCTCTGTGAATTATAAAAATCCACATCGATTTTTGGTGAAAAAAATTTGGGACTCGAAATTAAGGCTAAAATTAAGGGTCACAAGGATTAAAATAAGGCTCACAGGGATCAAAATAATGATCGTGAGGGTCAGAATAAGGGTCATAAAGGTCTGAACAAGGGCCACGATGGTCAGCTTAAGGATCCAAATGAGAGTAACAAGGATCAGAATAAAGGTCCCAGTAAGGGTCATGGTGGTCAGAAACTCAGGGTCACAAAGGTAAAAAATACGGGTCTCAATCTCTCTATCTTATAAAATTCAAATCGACTTCTGTGAATGAAGATTTCGTAATGAAGACTCTAAAATTAAAGGTCACAAGGGTCAAAATAAGTGTCACGGGGGTCAAAATAATGGGCATGAGGGTCCGAATAAGGGCCATAAGGACCAGAATAAAAGTCACAAGGATCAAAATATGGGTCATAAAGGTCAGAAGAAGGGTCACAAGGGTCAGAATAAGTTTACTCCAGACATAAATTCATTCTGATGACTTATTTGGCTAACAGAGCCTAGTGCACTCAGCTCTATTAATAGTAAATAAAATTAAACTATTAAAAGTAAATAAATTATATTAAGAGCTCTTTTGAGATCGGTCACCACAGCAAATTTTTGATTCAAATTTCTAGTATACTGCTTGAAAATTTCTATCAAGTGATGGATCCACCCGAATTTCCTAAAATTATGTCATTGAAAATTGACAATTCGATGTAAGAATCAATGAAAACTGCAAATCAGTTCAATTCTTCCATAAAAAATAATAGAAATTAGAAAAATTCAAGTAAATATATTTTTGAATTATTAATGAATTGAAAATTCTGCCTAACTTGGTACTGAATATTCATGTTTTTATTAAAAATTCAAGAAAATTGGAGAATCCTCGTCTACCTGCTGTTCGAAAATTTATAATTCCCTCGAATTCAGTCAAATATGAAATTTTCTGATTTCTCCTCCCTTAATCGAGTTTAATATCGCTCTCCACAAAATCATTACTAAACTGTCCAAGAGCTATCAATTCTGGCAACAGCGTTGTTTGACTTTCAATCATCCCCGAAAAGCGAGAAAAAAAACCTCTAAAGTTGAATTGTTTTTTATTCTTTTGTAGGGGCCGGTCGGTGAAGTTGGTGGTGTGAGACTACCTCTGCAGTCGTTGCATGGATACGGATCAGTGTTTATGTATTCGGCTTCAACAAGTCCTGGTGGTGGTAATGGTCAAAGTGGCGGAGGCGGAGGTGAAGTCACTCTCCGCCTCCGCGAACCCGAGGACATACCAGAAGAAGTTTTAGCACGACTCGAGGACACCGCTACGCTTTCAATATCACTGCAAGGTGACGCTGTCCTGAGGCTTGGCTCAGCTAGTACGGGTATGTTGAATAATGAATACTCTGAGAGCCACTGCTCATCAAATTTCACAGAGCAAAAAAAAATTTTTTTAAGGAACATGTCCCTGATTTGCAGGGACACGCCAACGATTTTTATGAATTTATCCCCCATTATGAGGGATTCGCGATTGTGAAATACAGTGATTTTGTCGCAAATTTTTAGTGACATCGTCACTAATTCCCAGAGACATCAACATTATTTTTCAGAGTAATATCGCCAATTTTTAGCGATTCATCTCCAAATTTCGGGAATCTGTCACTGATGGGCAGGGTCATTCTAGTCAGTCTACACTGAGAGAAAAACAAACACGTTGTCAAACAAATCTTGTTTGGGCCAACAAAATCGCTAGTTGAAAATTGCCAAAAAAGAATTTGTTTGGTTCGAATTTGAAAGTCTCAAACATGAATAATTGTTCTGCTTTCGACAGCAACGAAATATTTGGCTCAAGAGGCGGATAATTCACACCAGACGGCGCCTTTTCAGGATGAAAATATCTCACATAGAGGAAAATTTATCATTAGTAATACCCCGAGAGCTTCAAAATGATCGGGTATTTCCCGATCGCTTCGTTGCAAACATACGAGAGTGTCAAGTTTGCTAGGTTTAAAAAAAACCCGAGCGCGAAGCGCGAGAGATTTTCCTACAAAACTTGACACGATCGTTTGTTTGCAGGGAAGGTTGAGAGAAATAGCCGATGCATTTCGAAGCTCAAGAGGTATTTGGAGGAGTATTTCCTCCATCAGAATTTCGGTCACTGGAGGGCAGCATTTGATGTCAATGTGGTACAACCTACACTTTCGCATTTCAATTATTTTGTTCATTCTCCCTTAGTAACGTGCCGTGGTTTTTCCAAATTTTACCTGTATAAAATCCTGTAGGTTGTATCACGTGACATCACATGCGGCCCTCCTATTGGCCGAGATTCCCATGAGGGAAATACTCAACAAATATTTTATCCCTAAGTTACAATATTGCTATCATATAATTATTATTGTTTCATTTAAGGGTTCATTTCTTGTCTGTGATTATTACAGCCGAAACGAAAAACCGCTATTCCTTGTTTCGCATAAAACAAAGATTTTTCGGGAGCAAAATACGTATAGGAGTATCGAATAACGAAGGAGTAGTGCTAGAAATGACATTTCTTGCGTGTACAGAGAATGCAATTTTTTTTGAACTACTAAATCTGTTTTTGGGACAAATATTTTTCATTCCGACGCACTCTCTCCATCTTTGGCACAAAAGAATCCTTTATTAATAATTTTCAAAAAACTATTTTCTTGGCACAAGTAAGACTTGTTTGAGAACTTTGTCGTTTTTCTCTCAGTGTAGTGTCACTAATAATTGGGGATGCACGCAGAGAAATTTTGATAAAAATTACCTACAAAATCGTGGCAAATTTTATAGTACGAAAGGTAATCGTGGAGCGAAATGGAATTCAATGAAAAAATACCTGTTTGTGGAGGATATTTTACGATTCGTTCTGTAAAAAAACATCTATGGATGCAAAAATTAGCCTTCTATACAGTAAAATATTCCACACCGGTAGTTAAAGTAATGGTTTATCGAAATTTAAATATGAGAATTTATTACTTGATTATAATAACTGTGTCATCTGACTGATTACAAAGAGTTTACAACTTTTGTACGTGTTGAAGCCCAATTCAGGTCTAATAGGTGCAGACTCAACGGTCTCTTAAATAATACACTGATTGTTTATATTTCATCACTTGGTCAGCATAATCCAGTTACGCTAGCAAGTTTCACGCTGATAATGCTGTATATCCACATATTCAACAATGACGCAATTGATCAAATCTGGGGCATAATATATCGTTACAGAAAAATTATACGCAATATCTCTATATTATAAAAATCCAAGGCGACTTCTGGTGATGAAAATTTGGTACTCGAAATTAAGGTCATAAGGGTTAAATTAAGGGTTACAAGGGTCTGATTAAGGGTCATAAGGGTCTGATTAAAGGTCATAAGGGTTACAATAATGGTTCAAATAAAGGTGGAAATGAAAAAAAAAATTTTCTGTGATTATTGGAGACTCTGGAAATCGACTACAATTTGGTTATAGATTCCCATTAAAATAGAGATGGGTCCTTGAAAAAAAAATGACGTTTCCCTGAATATTAGTGATGAAGCCAATAAAAATTTGTGACCAAACCACTAAATTCTGTTATCGCGAATGGCAAAAAATTGTGGATGAATTCATAAAAATTAGTCACAGATCACTGAAAATTAGGGACATGTCCCTGAAAACCGAAACTTTTTATCTCTGTGTTTACTTCCTCCTCTCCAGTGAATTCTGTATTCGGAAATTAGAGGGAACTTGGCACGTCTATCCAGAAGTTGTTTTCGTGTGGGACGAGCGATTTAAATGTTTTGTCGTCACAGTGAAGGGACTTTTGGGATAAGCCCAAGTCCGAGAATGGGAGGGAGTTTTTCGCAAATCAAAATGTCTGCTGTAGAGAGTTGTGTGTGGTATAACGGAGAAGCAACCGAGCGTATCCTTCCAAGCGATTTGTCAAGTTGTAGGGGAAGCCCGCTTGTCTAGTGGTTTGCATGACATAGTGGCAATAAATTTAGGATTTTCATAAGTTGGGGTGGGAGGTGGTGTAGCCCGTTTCATGTATCAGTATTGTATGGCATGTGGTTCAGCGGAAAAGAGCCCAAATAGAAGGAGAATATGCGGAGAGAAAAGTCCGGAAATTTTTTTGGGGAATAATTCCGGGAAAAATTCAAGAGTTCTACTGCACTCAGAAAAACATTTGATTCTATCGATCACATTTTTTTAGACAGACAAATGCGAAACGTTTCCACCCAAAATCTTACCATAAGTTTTTGTCTGAAACAAATTTAATTGACAGAATTATATTATTTTCTCAGCGTACACTGATAGAATGATTCATTTATTCCAAACGAGATTCATGAACTATTAACGAATGGTAGAGTTGAATATGGCCAAATAAATATTCGTTAATAGTTAACGAATGGTTCACTTGAAAGGTGAAAGTCGAGTCAAACAAACCTATTTGTTAACAATAACTAATCCTTTCTACCAGTGTAGAATTGAGGCGTTCGGTGCACTAGAAAATTTCATTGACCGCATTTGAAAATTTGCTCTTCTCATGATGGAAAGGCAAGCAATTCTTTCTTGGCCGAAATCACAGTGTTTTTGCTTCCGAATGGAAACATTGTACTCGTCCAATTTTCACATTCTCTAATTTTGATTGGAAATGATGTAGAATGATCTGAAACGTAAAAATACGAAATTTGGCGACCAAATCTGGATGTGACCATGTCCACCGCCAGCTGCCCGCACGGAGAGAAAAAATTTTGGTAAAAATTACCCTACCGTTCTATAAAAGTGTATCATGAGTCATCGTTTCTTCATTTCTATCCCGACATTTAGTAAAAATCAATATATGATGATCAAATTTTATTCTACGTTAGAGAAATTGTATCCTGATAAAAATAAACATTACCGTGCCGGTAGAGTAAAAATTACTGTACCGGTAGGATGAAATTTACCAACCGTTCTAGAATTTTCGTTGTTATCTACATAAAAATTACTGGACTGGAAGGGTAAAATTTATTATGCGTTGGATAAAATTTCTCTTATGTAGAATAAAATTTGATCATCATATATTAATTTTTACTATATTTCGGGATAGAAATGAAGAAACGATGACTCATGATACACTTTTATAGAACGGTAGGGTAATTTTTATCAAAAATTTCTCTCCGTGGGGCGGTAAATTTTTAGAAAATTGAGTAAGGGAGGATCGGGCAAAATAGGACGTGTTGAGATCTTTTCCAATTGTCAATATCTTCATTTATAAGTAAAGATATCGACAACTGGAGAAGATTACGAAACGTCTCTTTTTGCCCGACTCTCTCTTAATTAAGGATGTACTACACCCGTTTCGCCAAAATTCAAGTTTTTTGAATTTTTCTGGCAAATTATTGATCGAATTGACGTAAAAAAATTTACCGTTTTGCGTTTTATTATTCCTTAATGACACACGAAATTTCATGATCGTGCAATCATTTTCCTGCGTTTCTTCTAAAACTTTTCGGAAATTCATAAAACTTGAGAAAAAATGCAAGAAAATAATTGTACTACCATGAAACTTCGTGAATCAGTCAGTAATGATAAAAAACAAAAACGATATATTATTGCGCGTCAATCCGATCAATAATTTTCCAGAAAAATGAAAAAAACGTGGATTTTGGCCGAAAGGGCGTAGTACATCCTTAGGTAGCTAAAGTAATTCCAAAGAATCTGAAAATTTGTGAGATTATAGTTCTTAATGAGGAATAACTCTGTGCAAAATTTAAGCCCGATCCATCTAATAGTTTTTGATAACAGGCGATTCGTTTTTGAATGGTTTTCAATTTTTCAATTTTTCAATTTTTTTGTTTTCAAAATATTCGTTTGGATGCCTTCTATCTCAATCAAACAAAATATATACACCCGTTCATACAAAGTTTTCGAGATATTCCTGTTTTTCTGTTTTTTCATTTAAAAAAATTCTTAATCACTCTAGCTTCTGCAAAAATCGAGATATCAGCTTGAAATTCGGACAGAATCCCTTTCATGATAATAACAGTTCTGCTGCTTAAAAATTAGGAATTCCCATGAATTTCTAGTGAAATTTGGTAATTTTTTCCCGCTAAATCGCATTCAATATCGTTTTCTCGAAAACTACCACTCAACTGTCCCTGAAATTCCATTTTTTTACATCAGTGGGTCATAACCAATATTTTCCTATTGGAATGCCAAATACCGCGCCAGAGATCAAACAAGTAGATATGCCGCCACGCAGACCGTGTTCGATCGATGACAAATATATTCATTAACTCATCTATGAGGGCTTTTGGGAGCTGTAGCCGCCGCTCCATCGTGTTGAACAAAGGGTATGAAATGTCGGCTGAACTAATGCTCATTATCTCATGTCAGCAGTAA